CGTAATTTTGTTCTTCCTGACGCATCTGTCTTTTTGGGCACGACTAATAGTGGTGCGTTCCATTGGCTGACGCTCGGTCTGATAATTTCTTGTTTCAACTATTTCTTGAATCTGTTTATTTACCTCGTCTTTGTGTTTTTCCGGTAAACGATAAGGTCGCACGTTTACTGGTGACGAATCTGTTCGTACTGCTATTTCATGCTTAATCTTTGTTGTGCATGATAATGTATCCCCTTCTAGGTGGAACACGTCATTGTATTCGTGACATAATTTTAATATCGATTTTCGTTCTTCTTCATTTAAATGTTCTGTGTGCAAGGAATTGTTTATTTGCTCTTCTCGAGCTATTGATTTTGTCTCTTTATTTTTTGTCTGTATTGCGTTTACAGATTCTTGTATTATTTTTTCTTGTGTATTTATTTCTTCTATTATTATTTGTGGTACTTGCACAATTTTTTCTTCTTCTGTAATATTTATTATACTTATTGGGCACGTATAATTTCGTGGTTCGACTAGGCAACATCCAATAAAAATTCCAGGTATCATTTCCTCTGGTTTTGTCAATCCTATTATATTTTGGTTAGTTGTGACTTGCACGATTGTTTCGCTGCGCAGCCCTAAGGTTACGCGCCTGTATGGATACAGTCTGAATTTCGTATTTTGAAATTGTACTAAATTTATTCTTGGATTGAACGCAGTCATGTATTTCCAAACAAAATCTGCTCCTAGGATTGCATCGTATTCCATTGGCGCATTATCTCGCACTATGTATACGGGGTGTCGTATCTTTTCTCGCGACAGTTGCACCGTAATATGTGTTTTGCCCAATGTTATTATTTCATGTCCTGTTATGCCTGTTAGCTTAGTTTTTTCTTCATTATATTAGGACGTGGTCTGAACATGTTTCAGTTTTATTATTGTTGCTGATGCTCCCGTATCAAACAAGAAATTTATTTTTCTACCTTTGGCTTCTGCAATCGGTAATGTGATTGCATTTAATCCAGTGTTAACGAGCGGTGTCCCCTTGACGTGTGTCACGCGATACTCTGACGCGGAACGCGGGACGGTCGATTTATCTTCGCCGGTTTCGCTCTTTTTATTTTTAAAATTCTTCGCGGAATTTTCTCTTCGCGAATTCGAAAAAATTTTTTCGGAATTTTTGCTGTTTTCAGGTTTTCCATTTAATGTCCAGCATTCGTGCCGTAAATGTCCTATCTTTTTGCAATAGCTACACTGTTTCTCAACTGTATTTATTCGTGGTTGCCTTTCTGGCTTAGGCAGAGTATATCTATTTGAAAAACGGCTAGTCCTACAATCGTATCCGTAATGACCGATTTTTCCGCATTTTTCACAACGCGGACTAGGTGTATGCGTTTTAAATACTGGCCGGTTTCGATAGGTTAGCGTTCGCATGCTAGGTCCTCGCGTTTTTCTTCCGCGGTTGCTCCTGCGATTGCTTCCTGTATTGTTTGATATCGCTGCGATCGTACAATTAATTTAATTTCTTC